GGGCCCGGGGCAGGCGGGGGCAGCGGGCCCATCAGCCCCGCCTCGCTGCCCCCCGGCGACCCGCAGCTCATCGCCCTCATCGTGGAGCAGCTCAAGAGCCGGGGCCTGTTTGACAGCTTCCGCCGGGACTGCCTGGCCGACGTGGACACAAAGGTAGCTGACCGGGCGGCGCGCGATGCCGACCCGCCGCGACCTTAGAGTGCCGAGTGGAGCTGCCCCATAGCGTTTCCGAGGCTGTAACCTGTAGTGAAACCGGCTGCCACCTCGTTCACCCACCTGCGCTTTCTCCACAGCACCACCGAACACAAAAGATAGCTTTTAAATCTCGGCGGGGAGTGGCTGGACCGCTGGGGGCAGGCGAGAGCTCGGGGAGTTCTGGCCACGTGCAGTGCCCGCCCAGCTGTAGCCTGGGTACTTCTCAACCTGGGAGAGATTGATGCTCCTTTTAGAACCCAGACCCTCGGCAGTCCCGAGATGGGATGCTTTTTTAAGTCCTCGATCATAAGCAAACCGCACTCTTATTATGAACAGCGCAGAAAGCCAGGTTGGTCAGCAAGAATGCTTTAGAATCTGCACCTCTATTCACGAAGGAAATGGAGCCCCGGTGAGGTAGTGGACGTTTGGGCTGCTAACACAAGATCAGCAGTTCGAAACCACCAGCTGCTCCGAGAGAAAGATGAGGCTTTCTACTCCTGTAAAAAGTTAGTCTCAGGAACTCCCAGGGGCGGTTCGACCCATCCCGTTTAGGGACACTGTTTAAGTTGGAATCGACGCCATAGCAGTCAGTCCGTTGTTTTTGAGATTCACTAAGGAGCTGAAGTGAAACGTGGTGCTTTGAACGCACAGTCCTCAGATTTTATAAGTTATCCATTTGTTCTTTGTCTCTGGTTCAGTGGCTGGCAAACTCTGGAATGCGATCGAGTTGAGGTCTGTTGGCGATATCAACGCCATTATGTTGTACTCCTTCGTTGGTTACAGGGGAGTTGGGGTACCCCATGCTGCAGGCCGGCCCTCGGTATAATGCAGGTCCCAGTTGCCAGAGTTCGTTGGCATGCAATGAGATCGAGCATATTAAATGCCAGACACTACCCTCCTAGCATGTTCCTGCTAACCCTTTTCAAAAGCTGCTCCCAAGACCAAGGGTAGTGCTGGTTGTAGGTTTTGGAGGCTTTATTTAGTAGTAGTGCTCCCCTCCACATATATGGAATTGTTGTCAACTCATGGAATGATTGAGACCTGAAAGTAGACCTGGACACTAGGTTTACAGACATTTCTTGCATACCTAGCTCTACAGGTGCGTGTTCAAATGGACATGTGAATGAAACCGCACCTGTTCTTTAAAAAACAACAGCATTTTACACTATAAATGAAACTATGATACTATATGTTTATGTAAAATTTTAATACTTATAAATGGAACTACATGGTAGTATATGTTTATTGAGACGTTGGGTTCGATGTGTCGTGAGGGTCGTTTGGCTTGGTCAGTATGACAGTCTCCGCCGTGCTGTTTGTCTTTACATCCGGTGTTTACTTTCTAAGAACTTTTTGTTGACGCTCGCATTTATTACTGAAGCAATGCTTTCATGATTTAAACCACTTTACTGGGATTAATACTCAGTTTACGCATTAGCATCAAATGGATGTGTATCCATAGAGATACATATCCTACATAGAAAATTCTGAGATTGGAAGGCTTAGAAGAAAATTAATTTGGATATACATGTGTCTCGGTAAATGGATAAAACTCAGCATACATGGTAGGAGATGAATGTAAATGCTTTCAGTAATTTTCATTGTGGAATTCACAATGATGCGTCCCGGAAATCCAACGTTAAAGACAGGAGCAGGCATTCATTCATTGACCATAGAGTGGCCTCAAACATGAAGGTATAGGAATAAGTGAGTCACTGGCCCTATCGGAAAGTTTATGGTGTAGGGTAAAACTGACCTGTCAGTCAGATGGTCTGTGTAGTAAGCCCTGCAGACTGTGCTAGTCTTCCAAGATAAACTCATCAGCAGTGCTTTCCCTGAGACCAAGGACGTACTTTTCTTTAGAGAACTCACAGGCTTGAAGTCTTCAGTGCCAACTCACAGCAACCCAAGAGTGCGGAGCAGAACAGCTCCCGAGGATTTCTGAGGCTGTAAATGTTGCACATAGCCTCCTCTCTCGCTCACTCAAGGCAGCTGGCGGGGAAACGTCTAGCCATATAAAGACCCAAACCAAACTCACCGCCATGGAGTCGATGCTGGCTCAGAGCAACCCTGAAAGACTGGGCAGAGTGCCCTTTTGCGTTTCCAAGACTGTATAGCTCGCTATAGGAGTTGAAAGCCTCATCATTCAATCCTCCAAATTATCCATCCCAGTTGACATCCCCACCACACCTAAGAAAAGGGGTCCAGCCATCACAGTAGGGGTGAGTGAATTAAATGCTGAACCCCAAACCAGCACATACATAGATATCCTCAAAGTAATGTCCATGGCATTTGTGAAATGACACATGCCAGTGATGGGGATTCAGATGCGTGATTGCCAGGGGTCAGGGCTGGGGAGGGTGTGGCGTGACTCTGAAGAGGTAGTAAGAGGAACCTTGGTAGTGATGAGACAAATAATATTCTTGCACTTTAAGGAGCTTTTGAACACCAGATTTACCCAATGCAGTGCGTCATTCGAGCGCATGGCTGCTGTTTCCCATGAGCACTGATTATGGACCCAAGCAAGACAAAATCCTCGACAACTTCCATTTTTTTCTCCATTTACCACGATGTTACGTCCTGGTCCAATTGTGAGGATTTTGGTCTTCTTTATATTAAGTTGTAATGCACACTGAAGACTGTAACCCTTGATCTTCATCAGCAACTGTTTCAAGTCCTCCCTTTCAGCAAGCAAGGTTGTGTCATCTGCATATCATAGATTGTTAATAAGCCTTCCTCTAATCCTAATGCCATATTTTTCTTCATACAATCCAGCTTCTCTGATTATTTGCTCAGTATACAGATTGACTAAGCATAGTGAGAGAATACACCTTTTCTGATTTTAAACCATGTACTATTCCCTTTTCTGTTTGCACAACTGCCTCGTGATTCCTGCAGAGGTTCTGCATGAGCACAATGAACAGATGTCCTGGAATCCCCGTTCTTCTCAGGGCTGTCCATAGTTTGTTATGTTCCACACACAGTTGGATGCCTGGGCATGTAGTCTGTGAAATACAAGTGTCCATCTTTCTGGGGTTCTCTGCGTTCAGTCAGGGTTCACCTGACATCTGATAACAGTTGGATCTAAACATTTGAAACTGGTGAAAAATGCCTCTCAGTGGAGACTGCTCTTTGGGGGCTCGCGTCCCGCTCCCTCACCACCACTCTCGCAGGGCGTCTGAGGTGAGGCTTGAACTTACACACTGGTCGTTCTTGTGGTGTGGACTTCCATGCAGAGGGCTTCCTAGGATTGTGCTCGTTGCTGAGACGCTCCAGAGAGGTAGCAGGCAGCACCTTGCAGCCCTACAGGTGGAAATGACGGGCTCCTGAGGTGAGGGCCGCGTAAGTGCTGGAACCAGAGCAAGAACCCAGATTCAGAAGCAGCACAGGTCCACCCTTAGAATTGTCACACTTTAGCCAAATGGGCACGTAATTGCTCGCTCGGCCTACATTTCTAATCCCTGACACGAGGGCTTTTCTCATAGAGCAGTTTGAAAGGCTATGACATGGCGGCCGTGCTACGCTGGGCTCTCCTGTTCGCGTCAGTGCTCTGGCTCCTCCACAGTGCACGGTGGTCCCTGTACAGTCACGGTGGGATGTGCTTAGATGGAAAGTTTGCATGTGTGCGTGCCAATGCAAAGCAGTGTTTGGAAGGACTGCTTTCAGGAAGTCTGGTGCCCTGAACTTCTGACTCGCCCTTTTTTTTAACTGTTTTAGCCAGCTTACCAAAACCTGCGGCAGAAAGTGGATAATTTTGTGTCGACCCATCTGGACAAGCAGGAGTGGAACCCGGCGATGAACAAAAACCAGCTTCGGAATGGGCTGAGGCAGAGTGTGGTCCAGTAAGTCAGCAGACCTGAGCGCGGAGGGGCAGGGAGCAGAAGGCAATGCCCAAGAGGGCTTTGTCCGCGGTCACGGTGTCTGAGACCCACAGGGCTGGCCCACACCTGTTTCCTCAGCAGCGTTAAGGTTTGAGCAAGCAGAGGACTCAACAGAAGTTCCTGCTGGCCTCCACCCTGGGTAGGCCTCCGAGGCATGTCTGCAGGGTGTGTTGGAAGACATGCCCCCTGCTCTTTGAAGCGGTGCACCTAGTGAGGAGCCGGTACTGAGGCTCCACCCAGCTGCCGGTGCTGGGGCTGTGCATCACTGGGCACAGAAGTAGAGTGGGCTGTTTGTCGTGAGAGAAGAAACACTTTTCCTGGTTTGTGTGGAATATTTGTTGCCTCCTGCCTCTCACCCTAGTGTTTGGATGCTCCTGATCCACGAAACTCCTGGGACATGAGCTCCTGCTTGCAGCCTTCCTCATAGACAAGCAGAGAAGCCAGGGAATTTATCCTGAATGAAAGAAGGATGCCAGCTCCCATTTCCATGGCATTTGTGAAATGACACATGCCGGAGATGGGGATCCAGGTGTACGATTGCCAGGGGTCAGGGCCGGGGAGGGGGTGGTGTGAAGAGGGGCCCTGGTGGTGATGGGACAATTCAGTGTCTTGCAGGTGGTGCTCAGGGAAGCTGCTCGTGTGGGCAACACACCAAGCTCCTGGGGCATTGGGGAAATTGGGGCAAGGGCTGCGGGTTGTACCAACATCTTTCCATGTTGACCTGGTGTCAGTGTTTACATGTAACCTAGGAGGTGGCTGGGGAAGCATGCATGGACCTGCCTGTGCTCGGCTCTGCAACTTGCCATGACTCTAATTGGTTTTAAAGGAGAGAAAAGAATGTATGACAAGCCAGAGTGTTCCATGGAGAAAGCTGAGATCTGTGAAAGATTCCTGAGGGCGAGGGAGGAAGCATGTCCTCAAAGGACGCCGGCCGGGAGCCTGGTCGCTGCAGCACAGCACGCCGGCCGGTCTCCAGGCTCACCCCGAGCCCATTTGACAGTGAGCGGAGCACGTTAGGGAAGCCGGGTTCTACCCTCCCTTCAAAAGGACCAGCCGGCCTGGAAGGAGGCTCCTCAGTGTTAATGAGCCTGGGCCGCTTCTGTGACAGTTCACGGTGCGCAGTGTTCGTGCCTGTAACGCAGGGAGCACATACAGAAAAGTGCCAAGCAGTTAGTGCGCGTCCCCGGGGTCACCACCCAGCTGAGCGAGAGAATGTCACCGGCACCTCTGAGCCCTCACCTCCTCCTCCCTCACCACCCCCAGACACACTTTCACCCTTTTTCTCTTGGAGATTGCTCCCGATTCAGGGCATCACCTCCCCGCTCTGCACAGATTAGCAACTTGTGTGCATTTCCCCTGCGTTTTCATTGGTCCAGAGTGTAAACACGCATAGCCAGCAACACGCCCCCGGGTTTTCATGGTGAAGGGTTATTCCTCTGCCCGACCTGGTTTCCCCTGAGCTAGGATGGATGGATGGATGGCTGAAGGACAGAGAGATAAAGCCTACCCGTGTGCTTCTGATGGTATTTGAGTATTTTTATCCTCTGAGAAGAAAACTTTGAGCTCACAGTTTGAGCATGCTGCGGTAATAATTTCTTTCGTAAGAATGAAGACCAAACTTGTCCCAAGAATTAGAGATGTTCAACTCTTTCAAGATGCTACTCTGCTCCATCCCCCCCCCCTTCCCCCTTAAGTCTATGATGTCCATGGGTTCTGTGAATCGCTGCAAGGCCCCACAGTACTCATGTCAGTCAAGGGAATGTCTCACACGGTGGTGGGTGCTGTTCAGTCCCAAATCGGAAGGCCAGGTAGGGGTAAGTCACATACCGGGGTCAGAGGAGACAGGTTCCACTCCTGGCTCTTGCTCAGTGGGTTCATTTTATACGCAGCAGGATGGCATTGCAGGGAATCCTGTTGACAAATACTCACAGGGGAATCCTATCAGTATCTTACCCCACGCATCAGACCTATGCCAGGAAAGGTGGTTTGGTAGGAGTTAGATGGTGCAAACAAGCGTCACCCAAATGCAATAATCTCTTCTCCACCCCTGGACTGTAACTTATTTATGTATGAATGGCATGGGCCTCTGGCACAATGTTTCCAGTAGGCATTGCCCTCCTACTCATCAGCCTGTTAATCACAGCCCTTTTCCCAGGCCGCTCCAGAAGCCATTTTCTTTCTCTTCTCAGCTGTAGCACATAACTCCTTGCATCCATTGTAAGGAATGGTCACTAAGATAACCAGGAAGCAAGAGTGTGGCCCAATTCTCACCCTCTACTAAGGGCAGGACTCATTCTCATCACCTGCCCCTTTGTTAGCAGGTGCGGTGCCATCGAGTCCACTCCAACCCATAGAGACCTTATGCACAACCGGATGAAACCGCCCGGCAGCATCCTCACAGTCATTCCCATAGGCCTGAGCCCGTTGTCGCAGCCACTGTGACAACCCATCTCATGGAGGGCCTTCCTCTTTTTGCTGCCCCTCCACTTTACCAAGTGTGATGTCCTTCTCCAGGATGGTCTCTCCTGACAACCTGTCCAAAGTACGTGAGATGAAGTCTCACTGTCCTTGCCTCTAAGGAGCACTCTGACTGTTTCTTCCA